CCAAAGCGCCTGGAGGCAGGACAAGAAGCAACGTGTGGAAACTAATCAAGGAGAGAAGCAATCTAGAACTAAGGAGAAACTTCCTGACAGTGAGAACAATTAACCAGTGGAACAACCTGCCTCCAGAAGCGGTGAATGCTCCAACACTGGAAGTTTTTAAGAAGAGACTGGACAGCCATTTGTCCGAAATGGTATAGGGGGTTGGACTAGATGACCTTCAAGGTCCCTTCCAACTTTACTATTATTATTATTATTATTATTATTATTATTATTATTATTATTATTATTATTATTATTATATTATGAAAAATGGAGACAAAATATTCCCTCAGACAAGATTAAAATGAAATTCAGTAAAAGTTCTAAACATTTGTATTATCCTTTGTTATTTATTATAACAGTATATACAGGTAGCCTTCAGTTAGTGAGCATTTACAGTTACAATAGTGATCAAAAATAACGACAACCAATTCTCACATTTATGATCTTTGCAAGTCTTTAAAGCAAAAGAAAGTTGAAGTAAAACATGAGTTTCTACTAGTGAAGCTTAATGACTAAATTGCCAGTCCTAGTTCTGATTGCTAAACAAGGACTACCTGTTTCTTTAAATTCTTTCATATGAAGGAAACATATAATATCAACAGATATAATGACCTGGCAAAGAGCTGTTTCTGAGGTAATGAACAAGCCAAATCCAGAGGAACAAAAGCCGGTGTTATTGGAAATTCTTCAAACCAACAAATCTATAGAGACCTCGTTTCTCTCACCATTGATACGTATTTTGTCATGTGATAAGAAGGAATAGCACCTGAACCCTGACAGTTTACGTACTAACCTAAAGCTGGTAGTTGCTTTTGATTTGCCATATTTGCCAAAACGATAATCAGTTTACTATGCTGATAATTTATATTATAAATATATAATAGAACATCTATAGAGAGAAGTAGATAATTTCTATTTATCATATTTGCCAAAATGAACATTTGTTTAAGGTGATCACCCAAACCCCTCTAAAATAAAATATTAGCCAAATAAATTTGCCAGGAACTCAAGTTATGCCTGCATTGGAGCACAGCTATTACAGTGTCAGAAAGCAAAGAGTCCACATGCATTCTTCCACCTACATCCATGCGTAAGCTGTCACCGCAGCTTTCAGTGGAAATTAACTATTTGCATGTGCAAATGACTTACAGTAAATACCAGCCCCAGCTTCTGTCCCAACTTGTCTGAATTATTTTGTTGCGATGCTGATAAGCATAGTAGGAAAATGGATATAAATTACCATTACAGAAGAAAATGGCAAGTCCTTTTGCTCAGAGCTTAAAAAAAAAAAACCTCAGCTAATTGCATTCATGTCGTTTCTACACTGGCAACGTAAGAGCACCATCCTCTTATACAAACTGCTGACTTTGTGGGAAAGCAACAAAGCCCAATTAAGGATTGTTGTTTCCACCCTATTTTATTAAGGTATATATATAAAATTAAAGATTTCATTAAAAGACTATAAAAACTAACACAAACTAATACAAAGCAGGAAAAAGAAAAGAAAAAGAAAGAAATCAAAGAGAAATACAGAAAAGGGGGGGAAAAAGAAAAAAGAAAAAAGAAACAAAGAAGTATTTTCCAATTTCTTTCCATCAGTTATAAGTACAATTATAACTTTACCTCTTGCGCTATGATTGCAATGCATATTTATTTGTTTGTTTGTTTATTGATTTCCTGCTTTTATTATTTTTAGAAATAACTCATACCTTCCTCCTATTTTCCCCACAATATCAACCCTATAAGGTGAGTTGGACTGAGAGAGAATGACTGGCCCAAAGTCACAGTCTCCCACATTCACAGTCTCCCACATTCTAGCCTGGTGTCTTAACCACTAGGCCAAAGTAGCGCTCTTCTTTGTATAATTTATTTTGTTTAATGATCGTAAATCATAAGTTACTTTTTTTCTGTTTCACACACAAAATCTATAAGAATTTTCAAGTCAGCAATATTGTCTTTCTTTGATCAAAAAGGTTAATTTGGCCATCTCAGAAAGTTTCATCATTTTCACCAACCATTTTGTCATTGTGGGTAGTGTGAAATCTTTCCATCTTTGTGCACACAATAATCTCACTACAGCTTTATAGTTATTCCATGATTCTTTTCAGCTGTTTGTCCATCAGTTCCAAAAGAAAAAAACAGCTGGTTTCAACTGTATATTAATATTAAAGATCCTCTTAATCAGTGTGTGTACTTGGATCCAGAATTTTCTAGCTTTTTAAATGTCCACTAAACATGATAAAATGTCCCTTCTTTTTGTTCACATTTCCAACATAAATTTGAAGTGCCTTTATACATTCTAGACATTTTTTTCTGGTGACATATACCAATGATATATCATCTTATAAAAAAATTATTTAAGATTATAACATAGATACATTTCAATCCTTTCAATCCTATATTTTCCTTTGTTAAATTATAACAAAAAAAAATTGGCCCACTTTTCATGCAATCTTCCATTTATTCTTCTGTTTCAAATTCCATGAAAAGTCTATTCATTTTAGCAATTACATGTTCATGATTTGTATAGAATTCAAACAGTTTTAGAATATTTAAATCCATAATTTGTATTACTTTATTTTTT